AATCCTATCTGAATATTAAGAGCACTCTACTTGGGGGGGCAGGTGTGATTTCATCTCCAAACATCTCATTTTACAGTTTAACCCGGGGTCGGCAACGTTTGGCACGTGGCTCGCCAGGGTAAGCACCCTGGCGGGCCGGGCCAGTTTTATTTACCTGCTGACGCGGCAAGTTCGGCCGATCGCGGCCCCCAGTGGCCGCGGTTCGCCGTCCCGGGCCAATGGGGGCGTCGGGAAGCGGCGTGGGCGAGCGATGTGCTGGCCGCGGCTTCCCGCCGCCCCCATTGGCCCGGGACGGCGAACCGCGGCCAGTGGGGGCCGTGATCAGCCAAACCTGCCGCGTCAGCAGGTAAATAAAACTGGCCCGGCCCGCCAGGGTGCTTACCATGGTGAGCCGCGTGCCGAACGTTGCCGACCCCTGGTTTAACCCTTTGTAAATAAGTTATAGTCTTTATTTAGTTTTTAAAACATTCACCCACCTGCTACTCTGCTTTATGAATTGACAGGCAGTAAATGAATTTTACGGTTTGGGCTCTGATAAGGTAAGTTCCTGCTGACACTATTTGCTTTTTGTTTCTTGAAAGTAGCAGAGCTGCAATTAATTTCTGGAAGCTCAACGGAAAAAGAAACCAACATTTTACTATCAGAAACACCTAAAATAAAAGTACAAGTCACACCACTATCAGCTGTTCTTATCATAAAAGAGTATTTGTAAGTTATTTTATGCCCTCTTGAAATATGAAGGAGAGAGAACATTTATATATAGTGACAGGTTATGGCCAATGTACTGTCACCATTGCCCTGCTTTGTCACACTTGTGGGGAATGTAAAGCAACAACTTTTGCACATGCTAAACTGTAGCTTTGTCTTTAGACTAAGATTTCCAAAGGAGCCTAAAGGAGTTAAACATCCCACTCCCATTCACTTTCCATGCTAGCAGCTAATAAGGCAAAATCAGTGAAAACAAACAAGGCCCCTCCAGTGATATGGGTGGCATTTAGTGAGATAAGTTTACAGTTCAAAAGCAGAGCCTACTGTCACATGTGCATTGATGTGGTTTTATACAAAGTAATCTGATGGCTACCTGGGTTCGGGAACATTCTGTATGTGTGTTGGCTTTCAAAAGTAAGAAGGTTAAATTGCATTGAAAGCTTCTTTTAGGATTTATAGGGGACTTGACATTACTGCTGGTGTGGGAGAGAACTATCTTCCTTCCATGTTGCATATAAGCATGTTACCTCCCTTTAGGCTTGACCACCTGCAGTCTGCAGCTGTTAGACTCTAAAGGCTGGTCTACACTTGGGGCGGGGGGGGAATCGATCTAAGATACGCAACTTCAGCTATGTGAATAGCGTAGCTGAAGTCAAAGTATCTTAGATCAATTTACTTTGGGTCCTCATGGCGCGGCATTGACGGCCGTGGCTCCCCCATCGACTCCGCTACCGCTGCTCGCTCCGGTAGAGTTCCGGAGTCGACGGGGAGTGCGTTCCGGGATCGATATATCGCGTCTTAACGAGACGCGATATATCGATCCCCGATAAATCGATCGCTACCCGCCGATACGGCGGGTAGTCTGGATGTACCCTAAGATGAAGGAGCTTTCTTTGCTAAGGGGATGTCATAAACTAGCTTGTGTACTTCTGCCGTCTACTGGAATATAGAAGACTTACTTGTACATTCTTCTGTTTGCTGAGTTTGCACCTTCATTTGAGCTGGACCTGTTATTTTGGAGCCAGTGCATCCTTGCGATATTTTTTTCTCTTGGCATGAGATGACAGAAGGAGAGAAAGACAGAAGCAGGGAGGAAGGAGGGGTAGTCCAGTCTAGTGATTAAAGATAACTGGAAAACAAGAGACCTTGTTTCTGTTCCCCGCGCTACTATCTTGCTGTATAACCTTGGGCAAGTCCCTTAAGTTTCCTGTGCCCCAGTTTCTCTTTCTGTAAAACTGAGATAATACTGTTACCCCCTTTGTAAAATGCACTGGAATCCTTGAATGAAGTGCAATAAGGCTGCATGTACTCCACTACTCCATGGAGAAAGAATTTGCTGCAGAGCTCACCTGTTGGTGCAGAACTGTGCTGCAGAATTTTAACTTTCATTTAAAAAAAATTAAGCCTCTAGATTTTATGGGTTTGAAGAAAACAACCTTCCAAGTGTAACTGATGCAGTGACATCTGCAGCCAGCCTGAAACAATAACTCTGGAGTGTTAACTTTGAAATCTAATAGTGCAAATTCGAATGTCAACTACTTCACTACTGATCATTTAAATAGCCATCTAATGGGCTCATCCTGCAAATTCAAGCCATTCCCCACGCTTCACCAAGTGCCAAAAACCCAGCTGTCCCCAACCACATTAACAACTTCAGTTTCTCCCTGATAGAAGCTGGCTGAGTGGGACTCTTCAGTGGCAAAGAGCCAACATAACAGCATAACACTCAGTGCTGGGGGCATACTCAGGGGAAGGTGGTACAGTGAGAGCGAAGCAGTGCTCAGACTATGCCTGGCTGCCAGAATGAGGCCATAGACAGCCAGACTCAAGTTAGAGCAGCCTCTCATTAATCCTTTCTCTGTAATTTACACTTCCATGTACCAATTAGGCGCGTAGAACTCTGTGGCAGAATCACCCTGAGGGACTGCAGGGCATTGCTACTCCCTCTCAAGTTTTCCAGCAGGGTGATGATGGGAGCAGCTCTCTCCCTTCAGAACTCTACATGCTGTGTCAGCAGGAGCCTTTGAGGTGAGGAGCTGAAACTGCAGAATTCTTGGCCACATTCCCTCCTTGGTCAGCACCATCCAGTTTTGGGGCAGTATTAGTTCTCCCAGGGCTGCATCAGAGATGCTGCCACTTTGTGCCATGGCAGCCTGAAGACTCTCTGCTGCTGGGATCCTCCTTTCTAACCCCTGATGCTAATCTAGCCCTAAGGCTGAAATTAACTAACGGTGCATAGAGTAATCAGACTGTGTCTGGAACTCCATGAGAGTTGATATATACCCCTTCAACTCATGGATAACACATGGCAATGAAGCACAGCCTAACTGTGGCAGCCACTATCCCCCTTTAAAAAGGGGATTACAAAGTGCTAGTGCCCCTGTCACATGAAGATAACAGTAATCATAAATCAGCAGATTATGACAGGGATATAAATTTGTGTCAGGTGCCTGGGCCCAGGAAACACTGTTTAGTCTTTTACCATCACTCCTGTGTTTTATGCCTTATAACACCCACCAGTTGCCTCATCTTAGAATCTTTTAACCTGGAAAAAAAAAATACAATGAGAAAATTAGTGAGCCTCATCTCCAGGAAAGTTGGAAACAATGAACAAAGTGGCCTCAGCCCACTTCCTATTTGGACAGCAGTTTGCATCATAAGAACCACCATCATACTTGGTAACCTTAGGAATTTTAGCAGCAAGGAGACTGAACTAGACAGTTATCTGTCAGGGTGTTCCCTCCAGGGCAAATTAGAAAGAACATTTGCTGAAAAGCTTTCTCAGCCACTGCCTGTGCTTAGCTTGACTTCGATGGATAAATGGAAGAGGTTAGTCTCCATGGCTGTTAACCCAGAATCTTTCACAAGCACAACATTCATTATTTTTATATGACATTTTTACCAACTCTGGAAATTCACACATCAATCTTCAATGTTAGGAGAATTTTCCCATTTTAACAATTAACGTTTTAGTCATTTAAAACAAAATTCAGAAGTGCAACATTCCCAGATTACTCAGCAATCCTAGAAATTGTTACACACATCACAACATGAAAAAACAGATTTTATGACCATTTCTTCAATCTGCTTTGCTGCATTCCACACTAAAGCCCGCTCCCATCAGAGTAAATGGCAAATTCCCATTAAACTCTGGCTTAGCTAGCATTTTAATAACACTCAGCAGTTACTGTCCATTGCACATTGCATCTGCAAAGTGCTTTACAAACATAAAACTCTGACTAATTATAGGCTGAAGGTTTATTAAAATTGTAGAAATCCTGGCCCTGGCTTTTTACTTTGAAGATCCAGTGTTTACTCCAACCTCTCTATTTGGGGGGGGGGGGGAGAAGAGGGGGAATAGGGCCGCCCCGGAAAGATTCCTTAAAGCAGTTCATTTAGCCTCAAGCCTGGAGCTTTTGGTGAGGAAGAGGGGCAAAGGGGCCACTTGTACCCCCCCCCCCAAATGATCTTAAGGGGCCCCAAACTTTTGTCAGAAATGCCAAAACATGCACAGTCTTTATCCTTTATAGACAGTATTTTGTTGTGCACTAGCCAAAAAAATAAATAAAAAACCCAAGATTCCCCCGAGGTCTAACTAACCCCTGGGTGGTTATTTTGTTTTTCAGCTAGCGACCCACTTCCCCCCCTCCCAGTAAGGGGAGCCTGGAACCGGCACCGTTTCGCATACAAGGAAAGCTTCCCTCAAGCTACCGCCTCGGCTTGTTTTTGAATGCAGTGGCCTTGCTGGAGGCAAGTGGTTGGGAAGCTGAGCGCGCTGCCCGGAGTACCTGCACGCTGGGGGCAAGGGGAAAGGTACCGCTGATCACTCCCGCCTCAGCTGGGAGGGAGGAAGCCGTCACGTGGTGGGGGAGGAAAACCCGGCAGCCTGGGGAGGGCAGTAGCAGAGCGCGAGGAGGTGACACGGCAGGCGGCAGGAGGAGCTGGAGCGCTGAGGTTGGCAGTTTCCCTGGTTCCTCCTGGCGGATTACACGGCGGGGGGAAGCAAATGCACCGAGGAGGCGAGCTGGGCGCTGAGCAGTCGCCTCTGCAGCTGAAGGCTCAAAGCAGCCTCTCTCCAGGGGGAGACTTCGCATCAGTTTAGCCGCACGTCCGGCACAGGAGGCAGGCAGGTGGGGTGCGCTGTTTGGAGACGGGGGGTGACTAGCTGGGGGAGAGGAATCCTTTCCAGCCATGCTCAGGCTGGGCTCCAGGGCGACGCAGACGGGACCTTGGCTCCCTACCCTACCGTGAAGGCTCCTATGGGGGATTTCCCGTCTGCTGGGAGGCGCAGCCCGGTGGCCAGGTGGCCCCAGCCCCGATGGAGCCGGAGGAGAGGAAGATCTCGGTGTGGCTCTGCCAGGAGGAGAAGTTGATCTCTGGCCTCTCCAGACGCACCACTTGCTCCGACGTGGTGCGGGTGGTGCTGGAGGACAACAGCCAGCGGCAGCAGCTGGCCACCCTGCAGGATTCCGGCGGGGGGATGCTCTCGGGCCCCCCCGAGTCCTACTGCATCGTGGAGAAGTGGAGGGGCTTCGAGAGGATCCTGCCCAACAAGACCAAGATCCTGAGGCTCTGGGCTGCCTGGGGGGACGAGCAGGAGAACGTCCGCTTCGTGCTGGTCCGCAGCGAGGCGTCCCTGCCCAACACGGGGCCCCGCAGCGCCGAGGCCAGGGTGGTGCTGAGCAAGGAGCGCCCCTGCCATGGCCTCGGGGCGGCCCGGGCCAGCCTGGCGCTCACGCAGGAGAAGCAGCGCCGGGTGGTGAGAAAAGCCTTCCGGAAACTGGCCAAGATCAACAAGAAGCGGCAGCAGCCGCTGGCCAAGGAGGCGTCCTCGGCGGAGAGGATGGAGACCCTGGTGCACCTGGTGCTGTCGCAGGACCACACCATCCGCCAGCAGATCCAGCGGCTCCGGGAGCTGGACCGGGAGATCGACAGGTACGAGGCTAAGATCCATCTGGACCGCATGAAGCGGCACGGCGTGAACTACGTGCAGGACACCTACTTGGTGGGGGCCAGTAGCTGCGAGCTGGAGGCGAGCCGGGAGCTGGAGCCGGGCCCGGGCCCGGACGGGGCGGCCGGGCAGCTGGAGGAGTACGCCAGGAAGTGCGAGGAGGTGCTGCAGCTGCAGGAGCAGCGGACGCGGCAGGAAGAGCTGCTGGAGCACCTGGCTGGCGAGATCCAGGAGGAGCTGAACGAGCGCTGGATGAAGCGGCGCCGGGAGGAGCTGGCCGCGGCCAAGGGCTCCAGTTCCAGCCTGTCCGAGCCCGAGTGCAACACCATGGAGCTGAGCGGCGGGGCCGGCAGCGAGCTCCACGTGGAGCAGGAGCGCGTGAAGACCCAGCTGAGCACCAGCCTCTACATCGGGCTCCGGCTGAGCACGGACTTAGAGGCGATCAAAACGGACCTGGATTACACGCAGCGCGCCCGCGAGGACAAGGAGCGGGAGCTGCAGCGCCTGCTCGAGACGCTGAACACTTTGGACTTCGCGGACACCCAGACGGCAGCTCAGATCCTCCTCCCCGAGGAGCGCGCTCCCGGCGGCCCTGCCTTACACGAGGCTGGGCTGGGGGCTCCCGTGGGCAGCTCAGACGTCTGGGAGGGCCAGGCCAGGGGGCGGTGCAAGGACTGCGAGGAGAACGATGAGGACTCGGATACAGGACTGAGCTCCATGCACAGCCAGGACTCTGACTCTGTCCCAGTCTGTGAATCGCTTGTATAGCGGCCTCCTTCCTTAAGTAAAATAAGCTCAGGGACCCACAGCGAAATCCAAACTTGTGCTTCCTCCTTGGCACTCTTAGAATATAACTATTCATTTTCACATCCGCCAGCAGAAGAGATCCTAGAGTGGACTCCTGTGATATATTTCCATTAGAACAAAAATGTGTGGTTTTTGTTGTTGTTGTTCTATCCTTTTGGGGAGGAGGGGGACCACTTTAAAATCCAGATGCCAGTTAGTGCCATATTATGGTAATTTATGCAAACCGATGATGACCAGTTATCTGGAGATAACATAAGCTAATGGTAAACTACACAGTTGAAGAATTAAATGGATTACACCATACAATGTTGACTCTACAGAAAGACTATACCTGCATTTTGCTGCATAGCGACTGTTGGAAAGGAGGTTTGTTGTAGTAGGTACTGTAAGGAAAGAATTGGGTTGGGGGGGGGCGGGGAGAAGAGCTTACACTGTAAAATGCACTCATAAAAAGGAAATACACTGAATCTGAATTGTGGCTTAAGTTTAAACTTGTTAAAACTAGTCATCAGCAGACACTTTTTAGTCTGTCTCCTCACTACTTTCATCTTTTAGAAAAAACACACACACACAATGTTTGCATTTCATTCAGTATTGGAATTACCTGTTTCCTAAATTCCTGCCTTTTATTTCACCTCAAAGGTGTTCTTGAATGGAACCCTTAATCCTATATTTCTCCAAAGCAAATACAGTCCAGTATAGGTTTCTTTACATAGTCTTTTTGTTGGAATGCTGGAACATATATTTTCTAGTTGAAACAAAAATTCAGCACCTTTATATTTCCTCAGTATTGCAAGTCAACTGTTTGCTACAGTATTTGCCACTTAAGAATTCAGTAGATTCCTCTTAGACAAAAATAAAAAAAAACGTTGAAAGTGCAGAACTAAAGTTCTGGGTGATTGAAAAATTAGTAAACAGGACATCTGTCAGTATGTTTGACATGGATGCCAGTTTGTTCTAATATATGAGCTTTTGAAATATATTGACTATGGTTTTTGCCATAAAAAGTGATAAATCATTAAACTAAGAACTGAACAAACTAAACAAATATAAATTAGCATGCAGTATCAGCACTCAGCTGTGAATGATGCATGTTCCCATACATAGATAATATCACGTTTGTTGACAGATAATTTAAGAGACGTTGTAAATATAAATGTTCACTAGATTAATTTAAAACAGTAATTAACACAGCCCGGTCTCTTCAAATATATTTTCTTTATCAGGTTAGTTGATGGTCTGCTGAGTTTAGTAATAGATAAATTACTGCATCAGCTTAAGCTACCATTTCTAATATGCAGTTCAATTCAGGCTAGCTCAGAATCTAGAGATCTGATGCCCAAAGTATAACTCAAGCTTGCTACAGTACAGCTGGGTGAAATAATTTAATCTCAGTTATTCCAGTGAAAAGGTACAGTATCAGGGGTAATATGTATTTCAATTAACTGGACTGCCAAATTTTCCTTTGCAGCTTAACCAATGTCGGGTATACTCTTACAATAACGAGTATTAATGGTTTGTGTATGGGAGAAGTGTTACTGCAATCAGTTTAATGGTAAAAGATCAGAGAATGTTCAATAAGGTCTGATTGACACAACATTTTAGAAGAACTCTGACGACAGGATATCTATGAACATTTGCTTTTAAGTTATAAGAAAGTATAAAGATAGCTGTGTCATGGACCAGGATCCTCAGTCTGTGTACGTTTGTGTAGTCCAATGAACTCAGCAGAACTAGACTGATTTACAGCAGCTGATATTGGGGGGGAGGGTGTTTTCCAAAGAGAAGTGTTGCTCTTTAACAGTGTTACCATTGGGAATCATACTGAACAGCAGAAACATAGATACAGCATTAAATCAATTTAAAAATAAACTAGTAATATACGTGTAAGTAAAAAAGCTCTAAAATTTCCATTAATGCCATTATTATTGATCAATTATACTGAAATAAGTGGTCTTCATAACATTTTAAAAAGTCTGATTATAAAATTATGGTTTTTGTATTTTAGGTGGGCTTGGAAAATATGTGCATACCTGTTTAAAGCCTAATAAAATGCTAGAAGATGAAATAAGAAAAATGAGTGTCCCCAGATTGCAATTTGATCACAAAATATCAGCATTGGTTCTCCATAGCCATGCATCTTGGGAGTCATTTATCCCAGTGCAAAGTGAGTGGTAAGATTTTTATCCTCACTCTGTATGGAGTAAATGATTCTACAAAGTAAAAGGCAATGGGGAATCAGCCCCATCATGTCTAACATCAATAGGCTGAGTTTGGAGATGTTTGGAAATGCTCACAAATGTACACTAGGGATCTAGCTCACTTGCAATTCAAAGAATTTTTATGAACCTAGATCTGAGGACTTTAATGGAGGTGGGGGTCAAGTCAAGAGCAGGGGCCATGTGGTTTTGCTGTATTATTTTTACCATTGCGGACGAAATTGAGCAAGTGACTATAGACTGCCTCTCCAGTGAGTGGCTGATGTAAGCAGTAAACTTCTCCAGTGAGCATCAAGTAGCTTTACATAAGATCTCCTATTAGCCATACCAAGCAAATAAAAAGGAAACCACATTATAGAAATAAGTTGCAACAGGCCTTGAATTATTATGCTATTGATACTCACCTCAGGTATGTTGTGAGCATGAGGCCAGAGCACCAAAGACAGGAAATTCAGAGTTGTTCATAGAGAAGCAAATTCTTGCTATTTTTCCTGGATCTGGAGGGCTCTTTCTGCAGCAGAATTATTGCAGTTTCAGTGCACAGGGGGATACTATTCCAGAAGCCTGTGCAGTCTGCACCCGAGGCATCTCAGCGGGTCATTGGAGGAACATTAGGGCTGATGGGTCTGGATTCTCCTGTAGGGATTGGGATGTTATTGCTGTAGATGGCACTGCAGTCCTGAAGTTACAGTAGGGGCTGCAGTGATTTGCCCATGCATGCATATATTTGAATGTTCTTACATCTAAAAAAACCACATACATCTGCTTACTAGTGTTTAAACAGTGGTATATGCAACTGCATTGATTTCCGTTTCCATCTCTATTTGCAATTTGTATTTATGCGTATTTGCAGTTCTCTGTCTTAGAACACTATTCAAAAGTTAGTAGGAAAGAGGAAATGACTGTTTGTGCTGGATCAGGGTGCTTTTCCGTTCCCATCCTCTTTTGTGCTTGTGCATCCTTCACTGGCTACTAAAGACAAACGATGACCCAATGTATGGGTTTGAGTGGAATTTGGCCCTGAGTGCTCAGCCAGATCATTGAATATTGATCAACTGCTGTCAGTAATATAGAAGAGTAGGATTCTACCACTTGCTGTATACATTATGAGAACAGAGATATAGGTAAGCAGCAGAAAAAGTGTATTTATTACTACCTATTGACAGAGAAATGATAGTGTTTTACCTCTCCAAACTCCATAATCTACCTGAAAGCTCTAAATTCTGACACTTGTCACTTCAGTTTTTTGTATCCCATTCTCTAGAATCCCATTTTCCATGTTCTTCCTCCCATGTTCATCTTACATGGAAGCATTAGAAGCAAGATTAAATGAAAAGCTAACTCCATTAAGAACCCTGCTTTAGCTACCTCAGTTTATAGCACTGCATGGCTCCAAATAGTCAAAGCCTTATACGCTTCTCCAAAGAACTGTTAGGGGCCAAGGCCAGCTGGCCTTTCCCAGGCAAAATGTCTTTGGAAGTCAATGGGAGTCTTGCCTGAGAGAAGACTGCAGAATCAGGCCCCAAATCTGTCACCAATTTGAAGATAAGAGGCCCTGATTTAGATCTCTGGTTAGCTGGTATCACTCCATTGACTGAAATGAAGCACTCCCTTACATAAAATTTGAGTTGTGTAGTTTGGCTTTTAACCTTGACCTAGTTTCAGATATCCACGACTATCAACATCATCAGAAAATGAACAAGGACTTCATGTCAAATGCAATACATTGGTAACACTTAATGCATGTTGTGGACCTGTCAGTTTGAATACTGCTTTGTAGAGTTATCTTTGAGGCCTCAATGGTGGAGAGAATTCTTAATACAAAATGAATAACCTATTAACTATTGCACCTTGTATTACAGTAGCTTTTACAAGTCCCAGTCACAGAGTCCCCATTGTGCTAGGCAATGTATAGACTTACTGTAAGGCTCCCATCCCAAAGAACTTGCAATCTTAGTTTAAAACAAGACATAAGAGGTGGTTGAATGAGTAGGAGTGAAACAGGATAGGGTAACAGTAATGCAAGCATGTTTGTTCATAGACTGGCTGCATGCACAATGCATTTTCATGATTCATTTTTAAAACATAAACTTTACCATTGTCTGGAGAGAGGTATAAGGCAAAAGTTCTTTCCAGGTATGTACTTCAGTTATGCATTCTTTTCTTTATTTGAACTGAGCTGGGAATATAATTCAGTCCACTAAAGCAGCAGCCCAGGCTGTGAAATGAAAAGATCTGGTGAGTTATGCCAATTACCAAGTTAAAATACAAACCTTTGTGGATTCACAAAGCAGTTGTCCTTTGAAGTCACTTCATATCATTGCTCCTCAGCTGGCACATCAAGTTGATAGAAACAAGCATTACAAAGCACAGAGAGTCTGCAGAGAGGTTGCTGTGTTTATGTGAACTATTACTAAATGAACTCAGAAGCTTAACTAAGGGGGTGGAAGGAATTTAAATAAACCCAAAGCAAAACCAGGGTAAGTATACAGTATAACCAAAACATCGTCACCCAGAAACAACAATGACTGACCTTAGAAATGTTCACTGGATTACTTGTTTAAATGTCTCACAGCCCTTACGGCCAGGTTCTTACACCCTTCCTTGCAGTGAGGAGTGCCTTCCTCACATCGATTTCTCAAGGAGAAAGGTACTGCTCGGTGTATCAGAGTCTGGTCCTAAATTAAAGCCTTTTCAAGTATTCAGAATATTATCTAAATGCCAGTTTCTTTCAGCTGTACCACTTGGGAAGTTTTAAGAGAAATTCTGATCTAAAATGATCCACAAATCCAACAACACTCCTCTAAGCAGCATTTCCTTCCCCTTATTTATTACTCTCTCTCTTCCCCTATTCCTAGCTCCCACTTATCGTGATTTATCACCCTCTGAGCCTGCAGACTACTCCTATGAATAGTCCCATTCAAACCAATAATGGGACTACTCGTGTGCAAGATTGGGACCTTTGATTGAAATCTACTTGAAGCAGGGACATTTTTTTTTCTGTCACTGTAAAATAGCACACACCTATAGTGCTATACAAATGTGGAGTCACAACAGAAAGATTACACCTTTGAATGCAGTATTAAGTATATGTCCTTCATATGTATAACATATCATTGGCTCATACAGTGTCTGATTTCTCCACTGCCTTGCCCCTTGTGCAGCTGTTT